GACTCGCACCCACTAATTTCTCATCCACACTACAAAACACCCCTTATATGAGATTATGCTAGTTGGATCCTTAATTTCTAGATTGGTTTTAAACTCAAAAACATCGCACTATTAGGTATAGCTTCCATTTATTAATTCAACGTTAGTACTTGATTTGTCTTCAAAACCGAGAAAAATAATAATGTCAATCGCTTATGACAAGTAAGCACCATTAGGTGCCCTTAGATGCCACATTAGCAAAACAGTGAATAAATRCATAACCATTGGGAGAAATGTTAAAATAAAACTTCCCCCAACAGTAAGCACAAACATAAATCAAGCTTTTTATAAGTATCTATAAGTAAAGATCACAATGATGGATTAAATGCTAATTTGGGGGTGACATAACAACGCTTTAATAAATGTCTATTATAAAATGTCCACAAAACAAAATATACGTTTAACCAATTAACCTCATCTGTGGTATGGATAGTGCTGATTTCAGCCTCTTGAGAGGAGGACCCGTGCCTCTTCCAGCAGTGAAGATTGTTTCACTGCCAGGATCTCCCCAATAAATCGATTCTCTGATTCTATCCCAAAAAACATTGTCTTTGTAGTTCCCAATTTGATTTTTCTTTCTCTTTCAAATAACACTAAGAGGAAATATCCTAAGCTCTACAGGATATATCCTAAGAGGAAATATCCTAAGATGTCGGCCGTCTTTTAGGAAACAATTTTACAGCAAACCTCCGTCCAAGTATAGGAAATTATTTATCAGTGTCTATCCCCTTGTCATGGGGCCAATTGTTCTAACCTAAATGCCTTTAGACCTTAGAGAAAATTATTTATCAGTGTCTATCCCCTTGTCATGGGGCCAATTGAATGAACTTCAGTGATTTTTACACCTTAGGCTCAGTTTGAAAAGAATATAAATATAAATACAAATTTATAGAATACATATAAAATATAAAATTTTGCACTTTATACATTTATATTTGTATTCCTTTCGTACAAATACAAATTTATAGAATACAAAATCTTATATTTTGTATGCATTTATATAATATATATTTGTATTTGTACTCCTTCCAAACCGAACTAATGGTAATGGGATATCAGGGGAGCTCCCTTCATCCCTACAAAACTGCTCTAGCTTGGAGACACCAGATCTCAGAAACAACAAATTGCTGAGTAAGAAACTAAAAATTCCACATTGGATCGGAGAAAGTCTATTTGTTCTTAGAATAATTCGGCTAAAGTCAAATCCATTTTCTGGAAGAATTCCTTCTCAACTTTACTTTTCAATATAAGCTCCCTACAAGACTACAAGGGTTGTATCTCGCAGATAACAATTTGGTTGACACTTGACAGCATTCATTCTAGTTTAGAAGTCTTAAAGCAATGGAAATTAAAAAGAAAAATAAAATAAAATTCTTAAATAGAAGGCTGAGAAGTAAACATGTAAAATAGTGGCGTATTTTGAAAATTCCAAGAATAGTTAAGGGCAAAAGAGCTTCTCTGTCCTATTTAACGGCAAGTTTAACAAAACTCAAATTTCCGAAACTTCAAAAGCACTTTAAGTAGGTTTTTAAATTAAGGGTTTTAAATATTTTAGGGATATTTTTTTAACAATGGGAAAGTATGGAAAGGCCCAATGCAGATTTTTGAATTTCATTTTCAAAATGTTAAATACCCACACTCTATGCACCAACGCATACCCGTGAATTAGCATCAACTCAAAACTGGCACCTACCTCAACTGTATTTTGGGCCTAAAAATTGATCCTGGGCTGAACTGTCGTTCTCCCTTGGGTTAAAGGAAACTTAATAATAACAGGTGTTTTTCTGTTTTTTTTAAGTAGGTTTTTTTTTTCTGCTTTCAAAAAAAAAAAACAGGTGTTTTTCTGTCCTTTTTCACTTATCCTTATAAGTTGTGTTTGGTTTCGCGAGAAATAATGAAAAAAAAAAAGGAAACGTGATTCTTGTGTTCTTGAAGGTAGTATATATGTTATATCTCGTTTGCCTAGGCATCCTATGAGACAGATTGGATTCGGATCTTCACGTCTTTTAAATAAAGAAGAAACTAAAAAAATTAATACATTTTAACTTATATTTAATATTCTTATATAAATATGAAATATCGAATTTAATATATATAGCTATTTTTATATTATATATATATATATTAAAATCAAAATATTTTAATATAATCGGATTGGTGCATTTCCAAGCCAAAGGTAGGACAAACTCAGAAAAAAAAAGCTGAAAACGCGGTTCTGCTGCTGTAAAATAAAGTGTTGAAGTAGTTGTATAAATCATAAACATATAATAGAGCAACGAATCAAGAGAAAAGAAGAAAGATAAAATAAACAAAAAGGGTAAAAGACTTAAATATATCTTCAAATTTTAAGATGGATTCAACAAAACTGATTAATTTGGAAAATGTTTTTTCCCCTGATTTTAGCCTATAATATTGTTAGCATGTTACAATGTTTTTAAAAATCGGATCAAATTGGATGGTCGGACTGGAAAAAACCGGAAATTAATCATCTGGATGGTTAGACTTGGATGGTTCAGTTTAACCCTAAAACCATTTTTTGGTCAAAAAACGTTGATTTAATCAAGAAACTGCTGATCTAGGTGGTTGAACCATCAAACCATTTGACTCGAGAATAATTTATGACCTTTTTATTGTTTTTATTCTTTTCTTAAAGTAATCTATTTATTCAAACCAGACGATCAAACCATTCCACTCAAAAACTAGATTAGAGCAGTTCTTTATCTAGTCCGGTTTTAAAAACCTTGGCATGCCATTGCTTAAGAATGAAACTGATTTCCAGTCGTTGTAAATTAGCAGCACAAGATTTTCTGGCAGCCACAAAACCCAACATCAAGAATGGAGGGTATCTTATCGGGGCAAAATGAGATTTTAAAAATTTAAATGAATTTATATATGACGTTTCACACTTTCGCTGATTAGAGAGTATACGTCCAGTGGGATAAAATCTTCGTTATCTTTAATTCAAGGTAAATTGTCTAAAATTTATTATAACTTTTTCGGCATTTCTCTTATATTCATCACAACTATTCATAATGTCCAGAAAACCCCATATGAGTGATCTTTTGTTTTCCAAAACTCATCATCGTTAGAGTTCATTAACAGAAATTGTCCATGTCCATATATACAATTTTCATGACTAAACTGCCCCTGAATGGGCAAGTTGGCCTTATTAAACATGTTTTTAATAATAAGCCCTAAGATGAACCAGGTTGGGATGACGGAGATTCCCAATCAATTGTTTGAACTCTTTCCTCGCACATGGGTTCACATCCTTGAGCCACTTCATCGCCACCATCCCAAGGCTTTCTTTTCCAAGCATCTCCACCGATGCGCAGAGCAGGTCCTTGAGCTGAACGGGGAAAATGGGCAGAGTTCTGGAAATAATCTTCGATTCGTGAGAGCAGGGTTGGGCGTGATTTTCCTCCCAGGGGATTTGGAATCGTGATAAGGCGGCCTTTGGTCTTGCAGCTACACAAGACGAAGGAGGGGTAGGTGGAGTACACTGAATTTCTTCACTTGCCAAAAGAGGAGATTTACAAATTTTTCCAGTTCGCAAGGAAATTCAAGATGAAATGATCGAATAATTGGGAAGACAAAACAAATTTCTCCTCTGTCTTCGATAAGTGTCAATGGTTATTGTTAGGAATTCTTGTTTTGAATTTGAACATGGTTGAATTTGTGGCTGAAGTTTGTGATTTGGTGTTTTAGAGAGTATTCTTTGAGGATGAGAAGCATTGACGTGACAAAATGTTGGCCGGTCAGTGGAGATGGGAAGGAGAAGAAGAAGAAAGAAGAGATTGAGAAGTTTCTTTTGTTGTTAATGTGTTCGAAATATCGGTTGTCGAAGGACGAGCTCGAGATGGTGAAATCTAAGGCAGCATCAACGAGAGCTGCCGTTCCATCGTTGTCTCCCCCACCGTAGATCGTGGATGGAGAACCTGTAAATGAACAGACCGGTAACGGGCTCACACCACAGAGCCTAGTGTTTCCCGCAACACTTCTCAATCGAGTTCCTTAGCACCAAAATCCAAATGAGTAGCGGTGACATCGCTAAAACCAAACTTCAGTTACTAGGTTTCAATTGGAAAAACCAAAAGGGGTGGATTTTCTGGTGAGCATCCAGCAGTGGAAGCTTGAACAAAGTGGATTTTCCAGTGAGAATTTAGTGGCAGAGGCTTTTTGCAAAGTGAATTTTTTTGTGAGAATCTAGTGGCAGAAATCCAACAGCAGTGACAATGAGTTGTTCTTTCTTTAGTCTAAAGAAACGGGAGCAAACCCGATGACCGGCTTTACTCTCATTGACGACACCTGTGCTGATAAGAGAAGCAGTGATGGAGAGATGGAGGCCTTGAACCGGAGACAGAGAAGGGTGGAGACGCAGAGGTCGAGGGAAAAGGTTATGTTCGATTGTAATAAGGGTAAAATGGTAATCTAGGTTATGTTTGATTATAATAAGGGTAAAATGGTAATCTAYTAACATCCGTTAACATGTTCAACGTGAACTTATTCACATAGTGAATTTTGAACGTTTTGAAAAGTTGTAGTGAATTTAAGAGAATTAAAAAAAAATGATGGTGGGTTTTAGATAATTTTTTTTAATTTAATTTATAAAAATTATTTAAGACAAAATAGAATTTAATTGAAGATATTTAAATCAATGCATATTTTTTTTTGTTAAAAAGTCAATACATGTTGATTACAGAAAAAAAAAAGTCAATTTACAGAGTTTATGATTTCTGAATTCACCCCCACGCAACGATCCAAATAGATACAACCTCGGGGGAACGGGTTCCTTCGGGTTTGAAATTTGATTTTCTTATATTCGTGAGTCGTGAAGCAAAAAAAAACATTAAAAAGCATCGAACACGTTGCAGGCAATTTGATTTCAGACCGCCCAAAAATTCCTGTAGTCCCGTATCTGAGCCCTTCAGTCGGTCTTGATTAGTCGGTTGGGATGGTAGTTGGCAGGCACACAGGCTCTGTTGGTGGAGTGATGGACAACGTGGGACACGTACAATCGATTCCCGCGTTTCAGACCCTCATTTGATGCAACTGCGGTTGGTTGTCCTTCTCTCTGTGCTAGTAGTATCTTGTCTACGCAAGAGGCAACCGTCTATACGTGTGTAATAAATATCTTATTGCCTGCGACAGAGGTCGGGCGTCGAGCAACTGAGAGAACGAGTGAGAAAAAGTGCGCAAGGGAGAAAATGTCTTCTTCGATGGTGGAGATGGCATCTCAGGGAGGTGACGAAGAGGGAAACGAACGGCTAGATAAATTACACATGACAGATCTTGCGACTACTACTCTCTATCTTACTAGAGAGACGTTTCTTCAAGCGGCCATCTCCCTGAAAGACCGGGTATGAAGCTTGAACTGAATCAACTTTATTTGCTTAAATTTGTTTTTTTTTTTCTGGGTAATTTGGGGTTGGGGGTGAGGGTGGGGATTGATTTGAGAGTCTCCTGTATGTGTAACGAAATATCAAAATTGGATTTTCAAATTTGATAGGTGATAGAAGCTACATGGAAGGAAAGAGGAGGTTTGCAGTTGCAGAGCATGGACCCAACCGTCTACACAGGCTTACTTGGGACAGCTTTCACTTGCTTGAGGTCATACCAGGCCACTGGCTGCCAAAGTGACCTGCAATTATGCGCTGAGATAGTCGATACCTGTGCAGCCGTGGCACGTTCCTCCAAAAGGTAACACCGGTCGCCTCCCTCCAGGCTCCACCAATATTTTATAAAAACAGATCTAGAACCAAGTCTTTAATTAATTAGTGTGTGTTGTCATCGAGGAATTAATATTGCAGGCACCTGACATTTTTATGTGGAAGCGGAGGGGTCTATGCACTGGGTGCTGTTGTTGCTAATTACAAGGATGACTGTCAAAGACGTGATCTTTACTTGGACCTCTTCCTTGAGGTACTCTGCTGTTTTCTTCCCGTTTCTTTGGAGAGTTCTTAATACTTGTTGAGTTAGGTCAGGTTTTGCTGGTTTATCTGTGTGTGTGTGCGTGCAAGTCACTGTTGGAAATTAAAGGAGAGGACTGGGGATATAGAGTAAGAGATCTGATGCTAATATAACATTTGTTGTTAGCACTGGCTATTAAGGATCGAAACAGGATTAGTTAGATCAAATTAAGCCTTTAGCGATTAAGATTTATTGGCCCAAATATCAGCTTAACTTCTTTCTAAAGACGGAGGCGGAAATTCTGAACATAAACTCCTTTGAAAGCTCTGAAACTGATGCATTGAACTCATTGAATGTTGATTTTGGAGCAATATATACTAATTAAACATGGGTTTAGAGTCTGTCATCGATCTTGTCTCGTGAAAAGTTAAAACTGAAAAATTGTTCTAGTTGTAAAGGAAGGAAGGTAGCAGCACACCAGCTATATGTTTATCTCGACTTTTCTTTTGTCTGTGTATCTCTTCTAAGTTGTAACCCTCCGACTCTGAGGTAGAAGTTGTATCACTATCGGTCACACTCGTAGAATGAATGCATGGGGTTACGGGTTTTGTTGAACTATCACTTACAGACTACAGTACGATATGTCTGATATTTTACCTACAGTGTTGACGGGAATAAGCTGGTTATCCAATCCCAAAAACACCGTCGTCGGCCGTCGGTGGAGATCTCTGTCAAATCCGCTATACTAGGGATAAAAACTTAAAGTCATGGCCTTGGATGTATTTTGTTTGAGTCCAACCTCAACGTGCAGATTTCGAGAGTGGGTAGGAAATGTCGTTTGCTTTTATCCAATTGAAGATGGGGCCACACCAATACATCGACGGCTGTGATTGATGGCTTTACGCCTACGGCAGCATATATTTCTCGTCTGCATAGATGGCCTTGGATACTTCTGCCTGGTCCATTCGGGATGGATTCTCTCCAATGTTCCACTACTGTTTATTTTTAATAAGCACGTGCATATTTACCTCTTGGAGATGGAACCATGGAATCTTATCTCTCTCAACATGAACAGTAAAGAACGGAAAAGCATGGACAGATTCGATGCAAATTTCTGAATCCCATTTCATATCTATAAACTTTCAAAATGTTAAAAACCTCTCTTTTATACATCAATCGCTCATGAATTTACATCAATTTGGAGTAGGCCTAAAAATTTACGCTGAACTGCTTTGATGATGTTATTTTAACACACTTTACTTTTAAAAGGTTAGAAATATTTTATATAGTGTAACATTATATGCATCTGTATAAATTATAAATTATTGAAAATATATCCGGCATAAGTGTAGGCCCAAGCTCGCGGGACAGAAACATCCTTGTTGGACAGGTTGTGTAATGCCAGATGTATTGTTAGCAGAAAATTAATGTTTAGTACTTTAATAATTAAATAGTCCGCCAGTAGCGAATTCACATCTGCGCCCTTCCCCATAGCACATCTCCATCTTGTATTTGGTAACCTCTTCCGATAACAAGTATTAGAGATGAGATCCAATACAAGGTCGGGATGTGATGTGAATTCTCCAGTAGCTAAACGAAACTAGGCTGATCACCAATGTTCAGGTGGCGCAAGACAGAGCTCTTCCTAGTGGACCGGAAGAAGGTGGTTTTGGTATGCCTTATGAGCTTCACTATGGTCGAGCCGGTTTTCTTTGGGCGGCCTTGTTCATAAACAGGCATCTTGGGGAAGTAGTTCCCAAAAACCTTCTCATGCCGGTGGTTGAGGCAGTGTTGGCCGGTGGACGAGCTGGGGCATCCGATAACACAGCTTGCCCATTGATGTATAGATGGCACGGCACTGGGTACTGGGGTGCAGCCCATGGCCTTGCTGGGATCCTTCACGTGGTGCTCCACTTTCCTCTCTCTAGGCAAGACGCTGAGGATGTTAAGGACACCTTCAGGTACATGATGAAGAACAGATTTCCCCGCAGCGGCAATTACCCGTCGAGTGAAGGCAACCCAAGGGACAACTTGGTGCAGTGGTCACATGGTGCCACCGGCATGGCCATCACCCTGTGCAATGCAGCCCAGGTATGTACTTCTAATTATAAAGGCAACGATTTTAAATTTTCAGCTTTTTTGTTTTTGTGGTTCAGAGTCTTGAGACCAGACTGAAGACTCGTTCATGTGTACTGTGTGGTTTGTAGGTGTTCTCGTGTGACAGGGAATTCCGTGATGCAGCAATAGAGGCAGGGGAAGTTGTATGGAAGAATGGGTTGGTGAGAAAAGTGGGGCTTTCCGACGGTGTTAGCGGCAATGCGTATGCCTTCCTTTCGCTCTATCGTTTGACTGGAAAGACCATCTACCAGAAGAGAGCTGAGGCATTTGCCAGTTTCTTGTATCACAATGCCGGGAGACTGGTGACGGCTGGTCATGTCCGTCGGAACGACCACGCCTACTCCCTTTTCCAAGGGCTTGCCGGAGTAGCTTGCCTCTGGTTTGACCTCGTCTCCCCTGAAAACTCCAGATTCCCAGGTTATGAGCTCTAGGGAGACGCCGGATCGAGTAAATACAACTATCTTCCCGGCCTAAAGCCTTGTAACGTCTTGATGCATATAAATCGGTAGTACACTCCAGTTTTATCTTAATTTTCTTGCCGGAGGCCCGGAGCGCACTACAAGAAAAACAAGCTAAGCTGGCGCGCTCACTAAACCGCCGGTTTAGCCATTTCAACCGACGGCATAGACATGAGCCAGCGGTTCAATGGCCGCCATCTATAGTTGTGTCGCCCTAGTGTCACGGGGATAATCGCTGGGGCCCCGTGCGGCACTCGAAATGGGCGAGTAAGCCTACGAAACAAAGCAAACACACACACAAWGGCAACAAGAAGGCACACGAATTAGCAAAAGGCTACTTGTATTGCATAAATCGGTGGTAAGCACAAGCACACAGTACAGTGTCGAGGGGATCTCGTGCTTAACCTTTACACGCTT